TATAACAATTGTTTAGTATATGGTAGCATTGAGCAAAGAATTAATATTTAATACAATAAAATGTCCTAATGATTTCACGTGATGATGGTCTCGTTGATGAAATATTAGTGTTTTCAAGGGCCCGGATGGTAAGCTGCGTAAAGGTATTATCAAACCAACAAAAGATTCTGGAACTTATGTTCTAACATTCACTCCTGATATTGTCGGAGTTTATAATGTACAAATTCTTTCCGGTGAAACATGCCTAACCAATACACCATTTAAAGTGCGCGCAATTCCAGCCGGTGATGCTCAAAAATGTTATATAAAAGGTTGTTTTCGCTTTTAGTTTATACACCTAAAAAACTAATTTTTTTATTATCTATAACTATTGGTGTTGAAAAAATTTTGATATAGAATTTGTATTTTTCTTTTCTTCAAGACTTGCCTGTTATTGAATATTGGCCTGCTGGAGAAACTAAGGTATTCACTGTTGATACATCAGAAGCTGGTTGTGGAGCCTTAGGTGTTCTACCATCAAGAGAACAGGAGGTTGAGTATAGCATTGAACCGCAACCAGGTACCAAGAATCAGTTGGTATCGATAACACCGTTAACCACTGGACCACATATTGTCGACTTTTTATTTGGCGGACGAAACATACCGAACGGAACTCTTCGATTTGAGGTTCCTTCTTTATTTTACATTGACAAACATTTTTATTTTCCTCCGCTTACCTTATTTTTATTTTTATTGTTTTTGTTTTTTTCTATAGTATGTTTCTATTCTTGTGGTAATTGTATGAGCTGTGACAGTTGTTTAAATCAATGATCGTTTGTTTACTGGCGATTCAAAATAGTTAACTGCTGTTTATGAGGTTAAATTTGGTTGTCACAGTGTGTAAAGTAACAGCCATAAATACAGTTTTATTTCATTTAAGCTAATATCAATTAAATTAACAAATTTATTGAGAGGAAAAGTTAGAAATTTTTTTAAAAAGGTGTAAAATTTAGAGGAACAAATTCTTATCCATTTTTATATAATTGTATACATATAAATGTTTTTTGTTGTTTAATCAAATAGCTCAGGTGGAATTTTTTTTGTTATTTTTTTGCTTCTATATGATGGTCAAAAATAATTTTTTTCAAAAACAACTTTTACTTTTTGAAAACAAAAATTGAACGTATTTCTCTTTTGTCAGTAACATTGTTTTAATACCTTTAAAATTCTAATTCATTTTTTTTTTTTTGCTTATAAATTTTGCTGTATTGTACATTTTTCCGTCGATGGCTGACAACTGCTGAGGGAAAACAGAAGGGAAAAGGGATATGAAGAAAGAATTAAGGCGTAAAAGAGAAGTATATTTAAAACGTTTTGCAGTTTTTTTGTTCTAGCCAATGGAGGAGGAGAAAAAAACAAAAATAAATTTTTCCGTTCAAATTTTCAAGTTGTCAAAAAAACATTGGTTAGAGGTGTGCTGAAATTAAGACGTCTACATCGGCAGACTAGGCAAAAGTTAGCCTCTATTATTTAATTTAGTTTGGTGGTTGAGCATTTATAGAAGCTTGTGGCATTGTTTTTTATGCCTTAACTCAAACTCCGCGAACTTTTTCATCGACAACAAAATGGTTAATCTTCTTCAGTCACTGTTATCGCTACGGAGAGAGAAATTGAAAAGAAGATGGAGACAAGGCTTCACTTTTTTAATTTTTGCAACTTGCAGCTTAGTTGGTGAAAAATACATTAAGCACACACAATTGTGGTATATGTAAAAATTGAAAAAAATTTTTTTAAAATTTGAAGAACGAAACAAAAAATTCTAATTTTGTGTTTTCTATAGCCGTAAATTCTTTTATCTATATTATCTTTTTGCCCTAATGATCTATTAGGGAATTTGCACATCTTAGTTGAATATTTGTAAAAGTTCAGGAATGCGAAGTGCAGTTTTGAATTCTTTTTTTCAATTTACCAACCAAGTGGCTGAATGAAACACAAAAAGTGTTGATGTAGCAATTTATTAAATCAAAAAAAATTTCTTTTTTTTTTCTGTGTGCAATTTGTCGGCCAATTCTAAGAATTCTTAATCGCACTTCTGTTCCACTAGAATTTTTACTTTATCGTTTTTTTCCGTTGTTCTCGTGTACGTAGCAAAACAGATAGATAAACGTCATCATAAAACATCACATCAAATTTGGATGTTGTCATTGGTGGTTGATAGTGCACACTGATAATTGTTAGCGTTTATCCACGCGATGTTTTTAAAATAATACAAAGAATTTTCCGAATTATTCGGGCTGTTTGCAGACAGCCCTCTATTTGATCGGTTTAGACGCTCTCATCGCTTCTCCTCATCAAATCAACCGCAAATCAACCGGAATGCTGGCGCTGTTGTTGTAGCTGATGTTACTGCTGTCGATAATGATGATAGTGTTGATGTTGATGTTGATAGTGATGATGGTGAGGGTGCTAGTAATAGTAGACCGAAGCTAATCTCGGGAAGCACAGTTGTTGTTATACGCACAATCACTGATCGTTTTCGGTGCGATTGGGGTGTTGTAGTTTGCTGCGCAATTTGTCGCTTCCTAATTGGTGGTTGGAGGAGGAATGACTGAGAAAGCTCTGTTCAGTGGCTTTGGACTTAATGTTGATGCTGTGTTTCACCAAAAGTTCTTGTCTAAGGCCTAAGACTTATCCTTTCCATTACGCTTTTCTTTTTGTTCTTTAAATTCCTAATCTCCTTTTTTTGGGAACAGGCGAAATAAGTGAACAGGTAAAAAGCGTACAGATTAGTGTTTGAAATATAATTTTCTTTGAGAGAGATTATCGATACCCAATTAATTTTACGGTTTACATCCAGAAGCAGTTGTTGTTACAGTGTTAAACATGTTTCAGATATATAAAAGAAAAGAAAATATTTTTTTTTAATTTTTAATTTTTTCTTTTTTTTGTATATCTCTAATTTAAAATTATTTATTTTTCACAGTTGTTTGCTTTTTTTTTTTGTTTTATTATTGCTTCAAAATGTTTTTTCTTGAATGACTGGGAAACGTTTAGTTTTTCTGCTTTACAGTTTTAATTAATAGATAAATTTTTATTTTCATCTTTTTTTTTTTT